TAAGTCCAGAGCTTTCACATGTTTTTTCTCTGCCCACTCAGCTAAAGATTTAGGGACGTTTTTCCATTGAATTAAAAATTGTAACCCCCCTCTATGTTTTCGAGCATCCAAAATCTCCTTGACTTCAAAATGTTGCTCCCCCTCAACCATCATGGGTCTGGTGTTGGCAGTGTGGGATGCCATGTCAAAGACTCTTTGTAAGGTTTTAGCAGATCACAGTGGAACACTGGGTGAATCCTCTTGAAGGTGGGGGCATTTGTAACTGGAACGAAACAGGGTTGATGACTATGTATCACAAATGGCCCCACAAATTTTGGTCCCAGCTTTTTCGAGGGTTCTAAGGATTTCAAATGCTTGGTAGATAGAAAGACTTTGTCCCCAACTTTCCAGTCTTTTTCTGGGGCTCTTTTCCAGTCTACATATTTCTTATACGTTGCTCTTGCCTCTTCCAGTTCTGCCTTAACATTTGGCCATACTTCCGTCATCTGCTGGAGCCACTCATCTGCAGAACTAACCTGAGTGGACTCCTGAGGTAGCTCTGGGATTGGCACAAAATCATGCCCTGTGGCTATCTTAAAAGGAGTTAGCCCCATGCTCTGATGTACTGCGTTGTTATAGGCTACTTCAGCAAAAGGCAAGAGGTCATCCCAGTTGTTCTGTTGATAGTTAACGTCTCAAGTACTGCTCTAACACAGAGTTCAATCATTCCAAAGCCCCGTCCCTCTGGGGGTGGTAACTCAAACTCAGAGCCTGAGTCACCCCAATCAACTTTAGGAATGCTCTCCAAAGCTTTGCAGTAAACTGGACCCCGTGATCACTGATGATTCATTCTGGGACCCCATGAGCTCGGTACACGTGCTGGATAAACAACTTAGCAAGTTTGGTGGCCAAAGGGATTGAGGGGCAGGCTATAAAATGAGCTTGCTTGGAAAACAGATCAGTGACCACTCAGATCACTGTCTTTCTGTTGCTTTCAGTCAATTCAACAATAAAGTCCATTGCAATTTGCCTCCAAGGTCTGTCTGGGTTTGCCACAGGTTGCAAAAGCCCCATTGGTTTACCTCCCCTCTTTTTTGCCATTGCACACATGGGGCAGGTGGCCACATATTCAGTTACATCCTTCCTCATCATTGGCCACCAGAATTGGCACCGCAACAGGTGCAGGGTTTTTACAAATCCAAAATGCCCAACGGTTTTGCTGCCATGGCCCTCTGCAATACCCACTGGAGTGCTTCAGTCGGCACGTACAGCTTGTCTTGCCACCACCACGCCCCTTGCTTATTGATCAAAGAGTCTTTGTTCTTTTTGAACCAGTCATCCTCCAATATCTGGCTGTTCAATTTTTTCAACAACTCTCCCTCTGGCTCACCCCCAGCCTTCCTGCTGTGCGCCCTGGTGATTGCCATCAATCCCGGATGAGTGCGTGGGATGATCAGTGCCATCACTTCCTCACATCTGCTGTTGTGTTGGGACAATCTGGAAAGAGCATCTGCCAGGAAAATTTTTCCCCGGGAATACACTTTAGTGTGAAATTAAACCAGTGGAAATACTGAGCTCATCTCAGTTGCTTTGGGGACAATTTCCTTGGGGCTGTCAGGGCTTCCAGGTTTTTGTGATCAGTCCAAATTTCAAAGGGGTGGGGCGATCCCTCCAAAAGAAATCTCCAGCAAACTAGCACTCAGCGCACCGCGAAAGCCTTCTTCTCCCAAACTAACCACCGTCTCTCTGTTTCAGAAAACTTCCACAAAATATATGCTCATGGGTATAACTCCCCAGTTTTCGAATTCTGCAGCAGCACAGCCCCCACCGCTATGTCCGAAGCATCTGCTTGAATGACAAACAGCTTCTCCAGGTTGGGATGTTTTAAAATAGACTCCGCCATGAACAAGCTTTTCAACTTTTCAAATGCTTCCTGACATTCCTTTGACCACACTAGTGGAGCCCCAGGCTTCGAGGCTTTTGCTTTATCCTTTCTCTTAGTCTTTAGTAGATCGGCAAGTGGGAGCGCCACCTGCGCGAAGTTCAGAATGAACCAGCAGTAAAAATTGGCGAAGCCCAGGAAACTTTGAAGCTGCTGCCACATTTTGGGAGCCTCCCAGCCAATCACATCCCTCACTTTGCTTGGGTCCATCTCAATCCCCTTATTCGATATCCGATAACCCAAATAATCAATCTGTTCCTTATGGAATTCACATTAGACAGTTTGGCAAACAGCTGAACATCCAACAGCTTCCTCAACACTTTCCTCACCAACTTCACACGCTCATCCATATTTTCAGTATAAATCAGTACATCATCCAGTTACACCAAGACACCCCGGTACAAGTCCTCTTGTAAAACCTCATTTATGAGTTTCATAAACACCCCCGGGGCCCCGTTCAATCCAAACAGCATGACTTTGTATCGGAAACAACCGAGAGGGCAGTTAAATGCCGTCTTCCACTCATCCCCCTCTCGTATTCACACCCAGAAATATGCGTCCTGTAAGTACAGCTTAGTGAAAATTTTTCCCTTTGACAAGTGAGCTAATAAGTCTTTCATTAGCAGCAAAGGATATCTATTATCTTGGCAGATAGCATTTAACTCTCTATAGTCCATGCAAAGCCTTAGCGAACCGTCTTTCTTTTCCTTGAATAGCCCTGGTGCCGCTATCTGGGATTGAGTCGGCTCAATAACCTCTGCAGGTTTTTATCAATAAGATCCCACAGGGCTTCCAGTTCTTTAGGCATCATAGAATACATCTTTTTGCTCAGGAATTTAGCCCCGGGTTTGATCTCTATGGCACAGTCACTTGGCTGATGGGGGGGTAGTTGGTCCGACTCCTTTTCATTAAACACCGCTTCCAAATCTCGGCGCTGCTCGAAACTAAGTCGAACCCTCAGTTATACTCCCACACTCACTGCAGCCACCTCTACCTCTGATGACTTTTTGGCAATCCCTCTCACTTCCGTACCGTCCCCTTTTGGAAACTGTAAAGTGCCCTCATCCCAATCCACCTTGGGGTTCCTCCTTTTCAGCCAATTCATCCCCAAGATTTAGGGATGGGTTTCCATG